ATATATATACATATATATTATTCATACCTTCAGTGTATAGGATGCAAGCAGATTTTAACATCAAATTTTGGAGTAAAAAGTGCATTTTATAAACTGGTAAGTATTTATCAAAAATATATTTTCGATGTAAGAAAATATTAACTTTTGACTCTCTGTTGAAAAGTTTTTGCAAATATTGTCATCAACTTATTTGGAACAATATAAGACAATCCTTCAGTAACATTTGAACTCACATCAGTAACAGAACTCTGACTGCTTTTAATAATTACAATAGTAATTATAAACATTTTTTAAATTTTAGTTCAGAAGATTTTAAAGCTTTAAAGGATCTTAACAAAAATGATAGTATTGTCATTTCTAAGTCAGGCAAAAGGAATAGTTTTTTAATTTTGATAAAAGTGATTATTTATGAAAAGAAGAAGAAACTGTTAGTGACTTTATTAAATTTGTGAAATTGCATCATGATTCTACTTTAAAAAAGGGGAACAAAATTACAACAATATTTATTGAAACTGAAGATACCGTTCTTAATATAAAAAAAACAGTATTTGAATATTAGACAACCTGGGAGTCATACAGATATTTTTTATGGGTTATCAAAAACTGACAAAGAAGGATACCTTTTACAACTTATCATATCTAATGTTGGAACTAACAACCATGCTTTGGCTGGTTTTTAGGTTGAATTTTTGAAGAAGTTCACTACAAATGAATAAACCCTGAAAGACAGTTTTAAGTTTCTTCACAAAATACAACAGTTGAAGTTTTACAATAGTGCACATTGTGCTAGTTTTGACCTAGAATATTTGTATACAAATACAAAAATAGAAGGAACCATACAGTTGAGTGCTGAATTGATTTACAATGACAATTCTGATAAAGTGAATATTCCGAAATGTTTTTTTTAATTAATTAATTTTGCCATAAAAGGGTCTTGTTTTCTATTCAATGGAAAACTTTATGATCAAGTTGATGGCATTACGGAAACTTGTATAACTAGTTTGGCTTAAGATATCTTACTAAGACTTTGTTTCATCAATCAGAAATCATATTGGTAGTTAACCCAACCAGAACTTGGGTCAACCATATTAGTTTCATTGGAAAGATGTTGAAAGCCATCTAGCCAAGAATGTGTGTATGAAAAAGCACAGGGGAAAGAGTTCCATGTAACAAAAAACGATCACAGCTAGGGTCCTAGTACGAAACTGTTTCAAAGCATGGATGTTGCAAACATTTAAGTCTCAATATATTGCTGACTGGCCATGCCCTAACTTATCCAAAAGAAATAGAAAGCATACAATTTGTATGCTTTGTTCTTTGGATTTCAGCATTGCTTATGGCAGAAATACAACTTTAGATATTAAATCATTCCTATTTTTCTGCTTAGTTTTAGATTTTTTTGACTGGCATTCTTAATTTATATCAATTAGGGTTGGCATCTCTGAATAATGTGTGGCTAAAGTTAGCAATTATGCCACAAATCAAAACATAGGTTAGATGTCACAATCAACTCTGTTTAATTTGTTCTTTCATGTTAATGTCATTGTTATGTGAAAATAAATGTAGAAAAATTACAGTATGGATTTTTTAAACTAGAATAATGCAAACTCAAATGTTAAAAAACAATACAAACATATAATACATCTACTGTTCAAAAGTGTTTACTCCTTGCTTTTCTTGCTATCATTAGGGAAGTAAGGCTTTTACTTCTGCTGATCACAAAAAAAGATGATGAACAACAAACTGCCAAAAGTGATAGTTGTTATTTTATTATTTCTATAAATATTAATTGCAAAAAATAGTGTGATACAAGAACAGAGGTGACAGAAGTCAAAGTGTCATTTCATCACTTTATTATACTTAAGTAGAAATAAATGCAAATCACACAAGTTGATAATAGTTCGAGTACTTGCTTTTTAACTAAATCTGCATGCAGATTCGTACACTCATTTATAGATTATATCAAATATTTGACAATTTGTTTTTCATCTTACCTTCTTTCTCACCAAACTGTCTCTACAGCAACATGTTATTTGCTTTTAACACATGTTGAATGGTGACAGTTTTATGGGAACTTTGTAAAACCAGTAGTTATCAAATTTATGTTTCCACATTTTTAAAAAACATTTTTTTCTACTAAAACAAGTTATTGCATACAGCTAAGTGTAAATTAATGTTTTATGATTATAATTTATGTTGAGGAAACATATAGTGCTGATAAGCAGACACAGGAAGTATCTGTTAGTTTTGTGGTAAGGAATATTTTCTATTTGATCGCTCTTAAAATTCAAACCTTTAAAACACAGGCAATTATCCTTTTTTTTAACAATTTGTGGTTGTGGAACATGTTAGTTAATTAGAAACAAGTTAGTAAATTTCTCTAATCAACAGATCAAAATGCTCAAGATTTACTTCGTCAGTACCAGAAAGAACTGAAAGTCAAAAGGTGTGTTGTAGAAGAGGTAGCACACTTGCATGAACGAGACGCTTTAATGTTCTTTGTGTCATCTTGGACCTATCAACCATACATCGAGGACAGCAGTCAACTGATAGTAGAGAGCATGGTAGTCGAGACAGGACTAAGATGATGTGTTGTAAAGATTATTGATGTATGGTTTGTGATGTATTTTACATATTAATATCTTATGTATGTGTTTGTTTAAAGAACATACCGATCTGCATATGAAAAAGGTGTAAAGATGATAAAATTTAACATGAGATCATTTCAGTTGTTAAATTTTTCAAAAGTTTGTTTAGCCATTTATGTAATTCATAATACATATTATTAATAATGGGTTTTTCTTAGAAATTCCAACAGGAGTGCAGCAATCATGATTTTCATTGTCATTAATAGACATGTAACATATTCATGAGCAACATTTGATTACATAAATAAGATAATATGCAGGTTTCATTCTCATGACTAGACTTGTGTAACATGTTCATGATTAAACTTGTTTTTGACATTCCTGTACAACACTTGATTGTACACATCTATAAGACAATATACCGGTTTCATTCCCATGAATAGACTTGTGTAACATGTTCCTGAATAAACTTGTTTGAGATATTCATGTACAACACTTGATTGCATACATCTATAAGATAATATATAGGTTGGCATGAAATTCTATCTAATCATAAAGTTTTATTTATTGGTTTCAAATTAATCTAAATTAGTTGATTTTTGTATTTAAATAAGTACTATTTGATATTGTATACAAAGTACTTAAACATCAATAGTAAATTATTTTTTCAATCCTTGTTATGTCAGAAGTAACTGATGATGTACAAACGGTCCTGATTACTGTGTAGATAACTAACAAAACCAATATTAAAACAGAGTGAAATTTTTAGAAATGAAAAAGTTAACTTGCATGTTTAAAATGTACACAGCTATATACATACAGAAATATAAAGATCAGATTACAATATAATGTTTACATTATTGCAGAACATTTTTCTGATTCAAAACATCAACATGATTTCAAAGTTAAAATTGAGTTGGCTACTGAGACTTACTATACAAGTTTATGCAATAATATTACCTTATATATTTATATCTTATTTTGAAAACAAATACTCCTAAAAAGTATGAAATAGCTGTAAGATATTCTTAATGTTGTTATAATTTTATTACCCTATTTACTAAGTAGAGCTGTGAAAATATCTCTATTAACAGATATATTTGATTACCAATGAGCATCGATTACTTCTGTTTGTGTTAAGTAAAAATTAATGATTAATCAAAATTACAATTGAATTAATTAGTTTCACAAAGATAATCAAGTAATATTAATTAATGTTTCTGATTATTACTGTCTTCAGTTATTTCAACTATCCAAGTAACTGAAATATTACCAGTATGATTTCTCATTGTTATTTCTTAGATAAATTAAAGTTTGTTCAGTTTTGGACCAGAATAGCTTGGTGGTTAAAGTGGTTGCCTCATGATTCAAGAATTACAGGTTTGATTCCCATTGCAACTAACCATTTCAGCCATGGGGATGTTATATTTGTTTCTTTGTTTTTCAGTTCTATCAAAACTACTAAGAATATCGGTCACTGTCCATAATTGTGAACTGGTGGCCAGAGATAAGACAGCTGGTCAGCAGCACCCATTATCAACTTGTGAGCTTCTCTTTACCAATGAATAGGATTGAATGTCATGTTATAATACCTTAGACAGCCTTAGCAGCTTTGCTATAACTCAACAGTTCTTTCAACTTCTGATACATACCAACTGAACTCACATACAACACAATAGGTAATAGTACTTTCACTGGAATAACTGGGTGAGACAGATATACACAACCTATGAGTATGAGGGTACTGCCTAGTGACCATTGATTACATAACTAGCAAACTAATGCTTGTTATTTGTGTTTACCTTGTTTAGACAAAACAACAGTGTAGCTTTAACTCAATATATTGTTTACTTATTACAAGTGTTATATTCAGGTAAAAACTGAGTTAACATTTGAGCAGTGGGATAGGTCTGCTTAATAACAGGAGGTTCTACAAGGTATTAATATTGAAGTAGTACTGAATCTCTGAGCAACTGCATTTGTAAGAATAAAGTAAAGAAACTGGACACAATGTAAGGTACAAGGAAACAATATTTATTTATTCCCAAACATGAACACTGTGTGTGTGTGCTTGCTTTATGGACACAGAATGGCCGCTTCAACTCAACTGGGCATCTTCAACTGGTCAGGTTAAAATAATCTAACAGACTATTTGAATTCAAAGCTCCTTACTTTGCAGATAATGTTGAATTTACCCAGAGAGACTAGCACTACCCATATGACTTATTCTTATTTAATCTAAGGGAAGGCTGTAACCTCAAGATAACTCCTGAACTACCATTGAAGAACACCAGCTGTTGAAGTTCTTGCACAATTTGTAGCATTACAGATGCCTCCTCTCCATGGGCAGAATAAACGTGACCCCAAGAGAATGAAAAGGAACAGGTATCTTGAACAACATTAACTTAATGACTTTCTTGACCATGTATTATGTGAATTCTGCATATACAAAATAAATGATAAATTCATAATAATATTATATTAAAGGTAGAAATGCATACTATGTTTACATACCACACTTTCTCTCTACCCTACTTCAGGCTTGTGCTCAAGCTAACAATTTTAATTTTAAAAACCAATAAAGATTTAACTCTCACTCTGTTATAGGAGTGTGTTAACTTTCTCTCACCCCTGTAAACACAAACAACCTGGATGAAACAACCTTTTAATGAAGAAACTACAATACATTTCAACTCTTTTACAATGAAAATCATAATACATAATTTCAATTAACAAAAATAATCTTTAACATAAAAAATATATACATAAAGGAAAACCTTTTCACACAATAGCAAGCACATTGCAAAGCCTGTTTTAACAAAGATACATGACAGAAAATACAAAAACAAAGCTCTTTAACACAATACCCTTCAACATGTAGAACATATTATAGTATATTACAAATAGTGACCTTTTAACATTTTATTAATAAAATACATCCAGCATTCAAGAAATCCCTTTAACAACAAATGGAGCTTCGTAATAAGGAAATAAAATTATGCCACATTTTAAACACGAAAACTCATTTAAATGTTATATGCATAAAACGTTATACATTAACAGTAGAAAAAAATCCCCCAATTTTCTCTTGAACACAAACACCATAATTTCATAGACTGAAGTTATGAAAAGTGAACCCTTTAATAACGAAACACATCTCAATACCCTTTATAATCACAATCATGAGATGAAATAAACTTTTAACACAGAATTACAAAATACTAAGATAATTCAACACCACTGATTCTCGTATTTCCTCATATGAAATATACATCTAGCACAACCAAGACCTGTATATCAGTCTATACTCAAAATGTAGAGATTGGGCAAAGGGTGAAGCAGAAAATACCTGTCAACAACTATTTCTAGACCATGGTGAACAGTCACTTGTCATCATAGCCACAGGTTGTTTCTACACCATATATAATGAAAGAGGGCTGGTTGAGCATTCATCATCTTGTGGAGTTACATTCTGCAAAAGGCTGTTGAAGTATCTAAGCTTCTCACAAACAGCTGGATTCCTCTGGATTAATGAAAACGACAAATGACAAGTAGACAGTGCCACCGTAATATTTGCAAATGATGCACAAGCAGTACTGCATAAAATTCAGAGTGGGTGATCCAAAGGTAGATAGTAGAAAGCAAAGCAACTGCATAATCTCTATGTATATGCCATGGCATACAGAGGTAAAGCTAACCAAGGAAGCTAGCATACTTGCAGTGGAAGCCTCTTTACCAAATCTAGCACAACTCTACTGATGTGTTATTGATCTCCTCTACACTAGCAAGATGAAAGCAGCAACCATGGAACATCTTTATCAACATTCAAAGGGAATGAAACTGCTTAAAAACCATATGGTGTAGCTATGAAAAGCAAAATATGGGTATCAGTAGGACAGTATACAGCCAGAAAGTCACTGATAACATCAGTAAAGGAAATCTATTCTTCCTCCTGCTAGGCAGCTGGCCATTATATGAGGGATCAGTGCAACCCCTGGAAAAGTCACCTAGTACTTAACTATATAAATTTCCTTCCCCAGTAAGTGCTGTGATATTTTCCACAACCACAAATATCTATAATGGTATTGCACTGTTGATGGATCAGGAATTCACATGTTGCCTGTGCCGTAATGCCAGCTGCCATACGCGATAACATAAATATATGCAATTAATTCTTATAAAATGCAATTAACTTTACTGGCATTATTGTTGTTAGTTTATAATAGCCACTTGCTATAATGGACAGGGGATATGCAATTTTCTTGTAAATTTTAACTGCATATATCATAAACTGCCTCATTAGAAGACATTAGTTATTATTGTATGCATAACTACTGATTTTCTGTTGTGCTTCAAAATTCTAAACTACTATAAGTTAACTGGACATATCCTACATTTTAAAATATTTCTTCAGTTGCTAAACTATACTATTAAATAGAAAATATTGCAATCAGATTATATTTTCAACATTTCATTAATTTTGAGATGATTGCAACATTTATGTGTAATAATTAATCCTTTCTTTTTTTAGTGATTGTTTTAAAATATTGCAGTGAATAAGTACAAAAATTAAATCAATTGAAAAATGTGATGGTATTCTCAGATTGCTCTGACTTTGCACAGTATTGATTAGGATCCCCAAGGACTTTACAGATACCATATCATGAAGCAGTGTCTTAACTTTCTTTGCCTTTAACCGAGTGTGAATTACAATAGAGAGACTGGAAACGAGTTTTCAAACAGTCATAATAATTATTTACCAAAATCAAGGTTCAAGATAGCACTTTAAACAAGTGTTTTCATCTGGAGGAAGAGAGAAATCTTTAGTTGTGCTCTCTCTCTCAACAGTAATTTTAGCCCACAAATGCTGAAGTAAAGTTAAGCTAAAAGCTGTCTAACAAAGACTTGGCTCAGAAGGATTTCTCAAACAATCTATATCAATCAGTAAGTCTAGACCTGTGTGAAAATCTGCATAAAATCTATATGAAAATCTATTTGAAAAAAAAAGTACAATAATATATGCTTAAGTTTCTCCTCTCCAGGCACATATGCTATCCACGTGACTGAAGGCCACTCTCATATCAGTGAGGATTGTCATGTCTTTGGGTATCACCTGAATTGCTAGCAGAAAAGATCACTGTTGCTATCTGTAGCATCTCTCATGCTAAATCAGTCTTGATGCTCGTAGTGACTCTTCTAGTCCCATGAATGACTAAGGTAAAAGAAACATAGTAACTCCCTAAACGAATTTTCTATATCAAGAACAAAACCTGAAGTACACTGAAATTTCAAAAAATGTATCTAGTAACTAAGGGGCTAGAAAATGTATGATGTGCTCGCATATCACATGTACCTTTATGTTCATTGGTAAATCTTATAATACTGAGATACTATATACTAATCACTTAAGCCCAGATACTCTACTGTTTTACTTTGTAGTGGTCCTTTTTTTTTTGAAGAAAAGACAAAAAACATTTAATAGTACTA